TCCCATGATTATTGAAACAGACTGTTGGATCCCCTTTTTTATGGATTGGGCAGAGCACACTTAAATTCCAATATCGGCAATAGAATAAAATATGCTACTCATCTTATTAATTGGTTTGAAAAGATCGAATCACTCATTTTAACAACATTTAATTTTGCTATTTCAAATAGATTTTTAAATTTTTCATTACTTATTACAAAGTAATTGGTACTCAAACTAAGGAGTGCACTTAACTACTTGCTGCCCCACGATTGCCTTATGAAACTAATTGGGCTGCCTGCATCGATTACATATTCTTTAAAAATCGAAATGTTTACATTGTCTTTTATAATAAAACTAAATAGTCTAACATAATCCTGCCCCGCATGTACCTTTTTCGTCGTACATACTACTGCCCGATGATCCTTGCTTCCACACGTAACAGGCACCTATTTACCGTTTCAGTCGTCAACAGTTCACGGCCAAATGCCCTCGAATATTACAATTGTAACATCTCAACTCGGTTAGCCGTAGAATAACATTGCAAATGAACTTGAGTGCATAGATGGTGATCAGTTATACCCTCGATAATGTATTCTACTATTTCTTCTTCTTCAAGTGGCACTTTATGTTTGAAATGTTCAGTAAAACTTTCACTCCTTTGCCATTTCTTGGATTCCAGTCGTCGTCATAGAACTATTCGGATTTCTTTTATGCCGAAGATTTCACTTATTTCCGCAATTAAAATATCTACTGGAACGGCCATGAAATCTGTTTTGCTATGCAACCAAGACAATGCTTTTCCTTTTAATTTTGGTGCGAGGGTTGCAGGCGAATCAGTTTCTGCAATGTAAGATGCAATTGTCTAAGGAATAGTATAATAAGCTCTATCCAACATTTAAATTAATTTCAAAAAAATCATGAATGCCAGTTAATAGCCGCGATATACACATTTCATTGATGCTTTTAAAATTTTATATATTATTTTTTTCTATGTAATTTATAAAAAAAAAAACAAAGTACAGTATTAAATTGTGCCTCACAACGAAAATTACGCACAAAGATTTATCGTTAGTAGCGGCGTCTTGCTGACGATTTTTGAATGCAAAATAAATACCGTTATAATCGCGAGCAAACTTGGTGTTAGATGAATTTGACATATACAGGCCTATTCTCACTGTTACCGGTAAAATAAATATTGTTACTTGAATTTGGTATTCTGGCGAACTGGTTACAATGTTTGAAAAAAATTTGGCAGCACTGCTTTTTTCGTCCATGTCAAATTACAATTGCTAGTTGATAAAGTAAAAAAGAAAAATATTCACATCAAAATGGAAGACGGTGCACAAAAGAATTAAAAAGTTTTGTTTATTTGTTAATTAAATCATAAATATTTGATCCTAATTATAGAATATATGCCTGGACAAAAAAAAAGCTGAATGAAAACGTTATCTTACAAATTAAAGGGCTATTTTTTAATCTCGAAAACTTTTTAAAATACGGCTTTTTGCACTTTTTTCTTCATCTTCAATGAATTCCAGGCCTAAAATATGCCTAAAAAATTTGGGTTTTTATTTTTTTCTGAAACTAATAATACAAAATCAAACAGCAGATATTTTTGTTACCTCCTATTTCGCTAATAACAAAATTTACAGGGTGATTTACAGTGAGCTCAAAATACGAAATGGTAACAAAATTTACTTAATGGTAAATTTTAATACCTAGGTAAATTTTGTTACCACGACAGAATAGGCCTGCTAAAAAATTTTATAGGCGTTTCACATGATACAAAACACAAGGTTTCACTCAACATTTTATGTTTTTTTTTTTTCAATATTAATCATCAGACATAAAAAGATTTTTTGACTTTTGCTTTATTTTTGTGTTACCAGTTTCATTTTTAAAAAGATAATTTTTCGACTTTATAAAATTAAAAAAATGTATTACATAAATTGCTAAACTTTTCCATGTAAACAAAAAGTTAAGAAAAATGCAAAACAAAAAACTCAAAATCCTTGGATAGTGTTTTCTAAAACCTAATGGAAATAAGATTACTCACGGGCGACCTAGAATTTTTGGCAAAAATATATATTATATGAAATATTTTTAAAGTGGCAATATCTTGAAGTAAAAATGAAAAAAGATGATGATGTCATAAAATCCTTTTCTGTCAAATTTATATCTTAAAACATCTTCAGTTTGGACTATAATTTAATCTTGAATCGTCTTCCAAACGAACAACGCTTGCAAATTATTGAATTTTATTATCAAAATGCTTGCGCTTCGAAGATCATTTTTGGCTTAATAGTTGCGTAAGCAAGCCGAATCGTCAATTTTTTTTACCAATGCATTTAGAAAAAATTTACAGTTTGGTGCGGTTTATGGGATGGTGGCATCATTGGACCGTACTTCTTCAAAGATACTGCAAATCGTAACGTAACTGTGAAGCGGTGAGCGCTACAGTGAGATGATATCAAACTTTTATTGGCCAAAATGCAAGAGCTTGCGGTTTCAACAAGTCGGTGCCACATGCCACACAGCATGCGTAACTATGGACTTATTGAGAGGCGATTTCGGTGAACGTTTTATTTCCCGTTCGGGGCCGGTCAATTGGCCCTAGATCGTGCAATTTAACGCCTCTAGACTATTTTTGCAGGACTATGTTAAATCTAATGTTTACAAGCCCGCTTGTATTGACGCATTGGAGAACAACAATAAACCATTTATTCGAGAGATACCGGCCGAAATGTTGGGGAAAGTATGCCAAAATTTGACTAAGCAGATGGACCATTAGAGGTTGCATGAAATAATCTTCAAACATTAAATTATATGAACCGTATTATCGATTCAAACAAAAATTTTATGCATTTTTCTAAATTTTAAGTGTTTTTTTAACTTTCCTACACCTCTTAAAATATCACCCTTTATTAAGTAGACATTGCTATAAATTGAAGAAAACATATACATAAGTTGTATAATAAAAATTCTCGGTGGAAAAAAATATCATTAATAATTTCTACATTAAGGTTTTTATGGTTTACTACAAAATACATTGGTAAAAATATTTAAGTAACGCTATTAAAAAAAACCACACAATACATACATATGTACATATGCATACAAATCAATAACTTCAATTTCCATTAAGATAAAACAAGCCACTCGAAACACTCCGAAAAGTGTCTTCGTTGACCACAAGACATATGATTCGCTTTGCTCGGTACCGACGGCAACAAACTCCTAAGCTCAATTGCTGTTTACACTCGGGGCCGTCACGTGCCGAAGATATTTTTCACTCTGTTCACTCGGTTTGAAATGTTGACAGTGCCGATTTGCTCGACTCCAAAACTCACAAAACTTACCGAATATGCGAAAAGGCGCCGTTTATTTTTGTAAGCATTTATTGACAACTAAAAACATTATATAATATGAAATATGATAAATTAATAAACACCTTTTTCCAATCCTTCAAGGCTACTATAATAGCTATTTGAATTACTATTTCGCTGATCGCTTGGAGTGATACTGCTGTAGAAAACTTCAAGTCGGCGAAAGAGTTTCCATTTGCTAGGTACTTCAAAATTATTCAAAGTCAAACCTCCGGTGGTATAGCATCCCGCATAAACATAAACGTGTCCTCTTTTGGGATAAAACCTCTTACGTTTCCAAGCAGCTGTAGAAATACTTTATCGCTCATCCGCAAATAGTTTTGAAAATCCAGTGGCGCTGTTTCTTTTAATTCTTCTATCAATTTCCTATTGGAAAGAATCTTTTTTCGCTTGGTACCACTATGTTGAGATCGTAAGCCTCAAAGTAGAACGCCGTTTATGCTTTTACCTATCTACGAATGTGCATAAAAGCACACCGCTAATTATTAGATTATCTGCAGTTCTAACTCACAAGCTTTTAAGGCTTTTTGCTTAAAAACACTGTTTACTCAATCTTTTGCTTCCAGTTGTCTTTCGTATATTTTTTATAGCTCATTTTTACTGCTTCTTGCAATATTTTTACAATAAAATAAAAAAAACAATAAGATACAATGCACTTATACAGCAGATTGATTAACCGTTGTAAACCGTTACTTCTCGCAAATAGCTAGAAAGAAACCATTGTTGTCGGTAGTTAATATTGAGAAGCAGCTCAACTTTTCTATTACCAATGTTTACAGGACTTCGGAATACTGGGATGACGTTATTTTTGCGACGAGACAAAAATAATGCTATACTCTCATGATGTGCCCAGTAAAGTTTGGAGAAAACCCAACACAGCTTTGAAACCGAAAAATATAATTCCAACAGTAAAAATTATGACGAAGGAGTTCTTCTGGGACATTCTAAAGAACGAAATGTCAAAAAGTGCGATAAAACTTGCAGTTGACCTTGAAAACCCCAATAAATTAAGGTACAAACTGTACCAGGATGGGCTTTTTAATAGAAGCGAGTGGGCAGACGGGACTCAACTAATAGGAAAGCTCTTATTAAGGTCATTCAGGAAGAGAGGAACAAACTACGTGAAAATTATGACTTAAACAACCTTATTCACTCCATGCCCCTTCATCTTAGAACTGTTATAGATGCAAGTGGCCATCATACCAAATATTAGTACCAACATTGCTATATTTTCCCAGTTTTAATTGTATTTGCAATAATGGTTTACAAAATTGAAACAATCAATTGACACCATATTATTTGCTGTTTTTTGAATTCTTATATCTTTTTTACTTTTATGTCTTGAATTCTGGAATTTGTGTGCATTATTTATGTTAGATTACTCAGACTATTATTATTAAAAAAAAAAAAGAAGTTAAGGAAAATTGTTTTAGTTAATAAAAATCAAGTTGAAAAATGAACTTGTTTGATTTTTTTCATTTTGCAACAATTAATTGACATACTGCATGTAGTAAGGGACTCAGCAGGACACTGATCGTGTGTACTTTGCATTTGATTTCTAAAACGCCATCAAGCCCCATTTTCAACAATGTCCGATTAACTTAACCTTTAACCACCAGATAGGCTGAAGTATTTTTTTTTTTTTTTTTTTTTTGTTTTTGAGGGGCATTTGATTTTTGATTTTCATGTCAGAAGTACACTCGAAGGTGGAGGTATTTGATATTCATTGTAAGCCCGTTCAGTGCGCAGATTGGGATGTAAACGTTGACACATCATGTAGTTTCTAACTCCAAATCACTGTCGCCCAATGGAAAGTAGCCCCTAAATCTGTTTTGCTCAAACCGGTGGTTCAGTCAGCAATTTTGGCAAGTTCCACCCAACACCAATACCTTTGCAAACTTCGTTATTGAGTGAAATGTGCGCATTGAGATTTTTTCGTCATTCTGAGGAATGATTGGACAAGTGCCGTTACTGCGATGGATACTATTTACCATCTAACTGGCAGTCGCCACTTTTATTCCGCACAAACCCGGAGCACAAACTTCCGCAGCTTTATTCCTGCAAAATCCAAAAATTTGTCAACGATAATTATTTACTCAAAGCACATCATTTTCACAAACTTTTTAGTGTGGCTTCTGATTTTGCTTTCTATTTTCTTTCAAAACGTATTTTGCTCTAATTTTGGAAAGACGAAATCTACGAAAAAAATTTCTTCGTCATATTCGAGACAAATTCATACGCGGTTTAGTAAGAATACAAAAACGAAAATTTTATAAATTTTGTTTGGGTAATCATAGTTTTGAAAAGTCAAAAACGAAAATCGTTTAAGTAAGTTGTTGTAATGGAAAGAAGAACAAGTATTTATATGATGTGACAACTTCACCTTCTATAAACTCGCCTTGATAATATATCTAAAAAAAAACTCATTCTCTATAAATATGCTTCTGAAACAACGAAATCAGAAAGTAATTTCCCTTAATTAAGTTTATTTTGAAGTTAACGCCGGAATATAATAGTATTTATTATTTTACTATTTGCAGCTGTTAATGTTAATATGGTCTGGTTAAGAGCTAATCGCCATTCAATGTTGGCGTTAAGTTAACCGCTACTTAATTGACAGATGGGCCTTAACCGGGAAGGAATTATATGCCGCCATCCGATTATGTTAAGACAAAGAACGTATATTAATTAATATATGTAATTAAGATATTATCTTTGCTTTTTCGGTGAAACGTGAGCCACTTCAATGAACAATTCGCCGTTCTTTTCCCTTCTTATTAATATACGTTCTTTGGTTATGATTAAGTGCTTAACCGGAGATGTAGGAAACGGCTCAAAATGAAGAAAGGCAACCGAAAAGCAATATCTCCCAAGCAATATGATAGGCGAAGAATTAAAGACCACAAAGCAGAGCTCTCCCCTTGAAGTTCTCATTTTTAAAGACAGATTGTAAGGATTGTTTTTGTATTTATACATATATACATTGAAATATTTGTTGCCTTTGCGAATCGGCTTCATTTAGTTTTTCGTTATATCAGAGCGAAGTAAAAGTTCAGCGGGAGGCTTTACAACCATTACATCAGGCTGCCGACTTACTTGCCGCACAAGGACTTACCGCTGAAGAAAAGAAGGAAACGAAATTACCTCCCACATTTATTATTAATTAAAAAAACTAATGAGAGCATTCTCTAGTACTATTAAAGTGGTGAAAGATGGTGCGACTGACACAAATCACACCGCAAAGTAGCGAAATACCAATATAGACTCCTTTACAGCAGACCCAAACTTAGAAACAGCAACACATCGCCATTTAGCACCACAATGTATGTGTGTACAACGTCGATTCCATCACATTCAGGAGCAAAATCAACAATATACCCATTTACGAGTACTCACTCACTTGCCACACCAGCTGTACAACATCAACAAACCATTAATGTACAATACAAACCTTCGGAAATATTATATATGAAAATTAAAAAAGAAGTTGCTGAAAGTAAAAATGATGTTACAAATGTTTAAATAATAATATAAAGTATCTTAACTGCTAATAATTATTATCAACCTAGATTTTTAACTTACATTAATCAAAAAAAAAAAATTCTTAAATTGAATTAGGGCTTTTTATATATTTAATGCTATATTTATTTATAAAATTTTTAAGATAGTTGTATAGATTGGTTTAATTGTGAGTATATTGTGAAACAAACATTAAATAATTAAAAATCGGAAACAAATTGTTTTGTAGTGATATTATTTAATGATTTTAATAGTCTTTAAGTAGTAATTTTTATCAGTTCTTACACTGTTCCTTATGTAATCCTCTTCTTTAGTACTTATACACGATTTTCTTTCAGTAAATTTGTAAATACTTAAATAATCCCTCATAAAACTCCTTAGTGTACTCATATGGGGTTAGCCCATATGAAAGAGTGAGTAAAAACATAACAACATAATAATAAATTGATAAAAGAATTGTCTCCGAAATATCATTCTTCTGTAAATAATTTGTTAGTCTCTTAAAGTTGGCTGTTAACTAGCGGTGAAATAGCCCCGGTCCTTCTCTTTAATATACGCTCTCTGTCCAACCGTTTTTGCTGGGTCCCTCGAAAAAAATTGTATGGCGAATATGTATTTCGAAATGCATTTGGAGTGTGAATTACGAGTGAGAGCAAACAACGTAATAGAAGTTCGTATTTCAAATAAATAAATATATATTGTATACATGTACATATGCAGGTAGTTTTAGTTGAGATATTATTTTGTACATTCATTATTTTTTATTTTCAAAAATTCGCGCAACCAGACAGCCATCGTGGTTTTACGGTTTTATTTTTGTGAACATACGTTGGTCTCTTTCTTACACATCAGAGCCTTTATATGGACGGGTAAAACTAGCATTAGAAAATGCTCTTTTAAACCTATAAGAAGGCTTCCGATAATTAGAATCAACAAATGTAATGGACAACGTCATTACTCGTCAGCTCATAAGGCGATTTTAACGTCACTTTCATAAGGCCGAAATGACAAAACTGGTGTTTATGTGTACGTCATTCTCTATCTAAACAAACATACAAATAGAACACAGAAAAGCGACTACCCTGCAAGAACGGCCTCGCTCGCACTATTTCGGGCATCACTAACACATAAGCAAATTTTTTTAATTTTCTTTCCCTTCTGAGTACATACAAATTAAAGCAGAATGCAGTTGAACGGACCATCCGTTTAATTTTGTGTTTTTAGTTTTGAGTAGAATGGTATTTTTTATCGTTTTCTCCGTAGCTGATAGAAATGAAAAATATATGATGAGGATCCTGTACAAGCTGTGGTGATAATATATTGCCGATTAATTAACTACTTAACTTTTCATTGCTTTTTACATTCGCTGATTTGAGGGCACTCCATATTGTATGGAAAATTCAGCTTATGGAGCAGATTGCAACAACATCAGATCTAAAAACATTCAATAAAGCTGTGCGAGGTACAACTGCATTTAGATATTAATAACATTTTCATTCGAATATTTATATTTATTTTACTTAGACGCATTTAAACTTCAAAAGAGCCGAGCTTATGACGGAGGCGTTCGTAGACCTGAGGAGCTAAATCACCAAAACACAGCACTAAATAAGTACGATTTCGCTTACAATATTTTACAGATTTTTTTAACGAATTTGTTGCTATATTGTTATTTCTTTTGTATGCTATATAATCCATGTATGTACATGATTTATGTAAAACATTAGAATAAAGACTGAATCTTAATAATGTTTGTATGTAATATTATATATTACTGTGAGCAAAAAGTAAGGTGAATTTGTTTGTAAAATTAAATATCTAATTTACTTTTCTACATCGATCTCGTCGCCTTCGAAATAGTCCCTTGCCAATGCAATGCACTTATGCCAACGCTTTTTCCAATTATCGAAGCATGTCAAATGACACTATTCACTTTAAATGTTCTCAATCGACTCAAAACGATTTCCTTTCCTGGTCTCTTTAGTTTTCAGGAGAACCTGACGTCACATGGTGCTAAATCCGGCGGAACGATATTTGTGGAATTTTTAGCGAAATGGTCACGAAGATCGAAAAACACAAAACCAGATTGATCATGTTGTGATAGACGGAAGACATGTCTTTAGTGTTCTTGACGTGCGTACTCTCCGAGGACCCAACATCGACTCGGACCATTATCTTGCACTTTCAGACGAAAAAAGAAAGAGCCCGAGATGCGTGAGTATGAGCAGCTTGAGAAGCTTGAGAAGCTGGTCGACAAGGGTAATGCTCGAAAATTCTACGAGAAGATACGACGACTTACAGAAGGTTTCAAGACCGGAACAGACTCTTGTAGGACACAAAGAGGTAGATAATTAATAGAGTAGATAATTTCGTCTACCTATGAACCTGCATCAACACCAACAATAATGTCAGCCTTGAAATACAGCTCAAAATCACTCTTGCCTACAGGTGCTACTGGACTGAGTAGGCAATTGAAAGTAAAGTCCTCTTTCGGCGAACGAAAACCAAACTCTACAAGTCCATCAATGTTACCGTCCCGCTATATGGTGCGGAAGCATAGACGATGACCACATCTGATGAGTGTACGTTAGGAGTTATCGAGAAAAAGGTTTCGCGTAAGTTTTGTTGCTCTTTACGCGTTGACAACGGCGAATATGGCAGATGATGGAAAGATGAGCAGTACGAGTTATACGGCCACATTGACCTAGTTCAGCGAATCAAGAAGCAGCGGCTACGCTGACTAGGTCATGTGGTCTGGATGGATGCGAATACTCCAGCTTTGAAAGTTTTTGATGCAGTACCCGGCGGTGGAAGCAGAGGAAGGCTTCCACTCCGTTGGAAAGATCAGGTAGAGAAGGACCTGGATGTACTTGGTATTTCCAATTGGCGCCAAACAGCAAAAAAGAACAGGCGCAACGTTGTTAAAATGGCCAAAATCGCGTAAGCGATGTCTGCGCCAGTAAAGTAAGTAAGTAAGTATGTAGGGAACATTTTGTCAAAGCTGAGTTACTTCGGCATCAATGCTGTCGCTCAGCTGTGTTCTATTTGCCAGTCAAGAATGACGAAAATGCACAAGGAAACGAGAGAGAATGACGTACATATATACAAATGTAAACATCACATTTGTCATTTCGGCCTTAAGAAAGCGATAGGAAAATCGTTCTACGAGCTGACGGGTTATGACATCATGCCTTCCTGGCATATGTTGGCTCTAAAAATCGGAAGCCCTCTTGCAGGGAATGTCAAAGTTAATCAGCATTGATAAATATTTTCTCTAAATGCATACGTATGTTAGTACATAGAATAGAAATAAAACAACAAAAATATTCATTTTCAAAAAATCAGCAAAATAATTAATAATAATTTCAAATTACTCTATTTATCCTCTTGAACTAAATGAATCTGAAAATAATCAAATCTCGTGTGTTAACGTTGGGCCCACAGATTTATACGGATGTATGTACACCTCCATATACTTACCCTGTCTCTGGAATATCTTAAGGATTTTAATGATCTATTAAAATTCATCCGGAATACTTTCTGATGCATTATATTTCAATTTTCTAATTATTTCGTATATTAATATGTTAAAACGATTGATTCTGTTCGAACGCGGATAACAATTTCGATTTAAAAATTAAGTCGTGCGATTTCCAGCACATGCTGGATAAACAAATCTAAAACTAAACGAAACATTTTTTTGTCATAATGGTTGGTGGCAACCATTTAGCCATATTGGCGCTTGAAACTTTCAAGAGAAGGCGTTGAATTCGCCTCTCGCCGCAGACATGTGTTTTATCCGTGCAGGCTGCCATATTAATAAAACGTCAGGTAAGTAAAAAATGAGTTTGATGTTAATAAATGGATAGGTATTTTTGATTTCTAATAAAATACTTTAGCATTTCTGCTGTCTGCCTGTATTAATCTTTAGTGAGCAATATCAATATGAGAACCTCTCTAATGCTTAAACAAAAAAATAATTTTTCGATATGCAATACATTTAATACGGCAACGTCTAAAGCGCTGTGTCTCAGCATCCCTGTGTTTCGTGAAAAATTTCTTTTTCGTGTTTCGTGAAAAAATTGTCGTTCCTATTTGCTTCAATTGTGCTAAAAGTGTGAAGTGCAGTGTATTTTTATTGATAAAATATAAAATCGCGCATAACGAAAAGTTTGGAGTGCTATATATTTGGTTGCTTTCGAGCAAAGTACTAAAAGTGCGCAGTCAAATGGATTTACACTGAATTTTCTTCGGGGAAGTTGTGACGACTTTGTTCATCATTATTCTCCTCACATACTTACTTCCCAATCGACGGTTATCGCATTTTCACGAAAACTGCTTGTTGTATATCTTAGTGCAGAAATGCAAAATTAAGATTATCTAGTTCCTGGACTGGTTGACTCTGCTCCCAGTAACGTTGTGTTTTTTATACACAGAGTGTTTACGAAAGTAAAGGCACGACCTGCGTAGCGCTCTATCTGGTGAGTTGAAAACTTGTCACTCAACATATTGCGTGCTCACAGCAATCGGTAACTACAATGTTGAAAATACAATTTTAGTTAATTTCGTTGTCCAAGTAGTTGGTGATATCAAACATCAAAATGAGTGGTGGCAGCATATCTTCCGGACCTGCTCCAATTGAGAAAGATAAGGATTCACATTGGTACTTTAGTGCGGAACAGCTAATCAACTCGCCGAGTCGGCGGCAAGGAATAGATGCCGACACTGAACTCTCCTACCGTCAGATGACTGCTTATCTTATTCAAGAAATGGGACAACGACTGCAGGTGTAAGTGCATCTATCTAATTTACAACCTATTTAGTAAAATATATACTTATGTTCTGCTCTAACAGCTCTCAACTTTGCATTAATACTGCCATTGTTTACATGCATCGATTCTATGCATTTCATTCCTTCACGCATTTTCATCGCAATAACATAGCAGCAGCGAGTTTATTCTTAGCTGCTAAGGTGGAAGAGCAGCCTCGAAAATTGGAGCATGTAATTAAGGCTGCTAACAAGTGCCTTAATCAGCCCACCTCTTCCACCACGGACGCTTACTACATAGAGCAGGCGCAAGAACTTGTATTTAATGAAAATGTTCTTCTTCAAACCCTTGGATTTGATGTGGCTATAGATCATCCGCATACACATGTCGTGAAAACATGTCATTTAGTTAAAGGTAATTTTCCATTCGCAAACAATTTTACTATATAAACTGATTTCATTTGTATTTTCAGCATGCAAGGATCTCGCACAAACCTCTTATTTTTTGGCTTCTAACAGGTCGGCTACGATATCAAATTTTTTTTTTTTCATATAAAAATATCTTTTGCATCAAAATATTAACTATGGCTAAAATGTTTCTTTTATTACAACAAATGTTATTTTTTGTTTAGTCTTCATCTGACGTCAATGTGCCTACAATACAAACCAACTGTGGTTGCTTGTTTCTGCATATATTTGGCTTGTAAATGGTCACGTTGGGAGGTAAGAGCAACTAAACGCTATAGCGAAATAAGAAAATGTTGACTGTTTTTAAAATTGAATGTAGATTCCTCAATCAACTGAAGGTAAACATTGGTTCCATTATGTTGATAAAACTGTGACTATGGATTTGCTTAAGCAATTGACTGATGAATTCATAGCAATATACGAAAAGAGCCCTTCGCGTCTAAAATCAAAATTGAATTCAATAAAGGCTCTCGCCCAAAATGCAAGCAACCGGGTGATTAATAAAGAAAAAAAGGGAGCAAACGAAGAGTGGAAAATGGGTGACATGATGAAAATGTATGCTCACGATGGTGGTGGCAATATTAGTAACAGTAGTCAGCCTTTCGCTACAACCTCCATCGGCTGCGAGCAGTCTCAACAGCAGGTATCAGGCCTATTACCACCTCCACCGCCACAGGCGTCAATATCTAGGAAAAGTGAATTGCACTCCAGTCAACACCGCTCGCATCACACGTCTCATCATTCAAAAATGAACTTTCCTTCAACAGATACTCTTGGTACGAATTCACTATTAAAATCATTATTTTTTTATACGGATTTTTTTTTTTAACACTCAAGGCATCGCTTACTTTATTACCATTTCTTACTATTTTAGATCACAAAAGCAGTCACAAACAGTCCTTTAGTGGCGTTGTTAACCGCCCACGTGATCATTTGCAATCGTCTCAGGGACATCAACAACCAATGGTTCCAAGTAACTCGTCAAGATCAAGTCTTTCAGTGCCCAACAGCCGATCTTTAAGTAGCATGTCTGGTCAAAACCAACCCCGACAGTCGTTACAAGGCCACCAACTAGATGTGAATTATCACAAATCTCGTGAAAAAGGAGCTGTTATGGGTTCATATCCACACAATGCATCAACACAAGGTCATTCGGGACACAAAGTCTCACAAAAGCAAGATCCTAATCGAGCATTACAGAAAGAGCAAACTGCCGCCAAAATGCCTGAACCAAGCAAAAATTCTAGTAATAGTAATAAACTATTCCCAAGCACATCGTCAGCTTCAAATATACCCCATTTTGTCGGTAACAATGCACAGCCATTAAGTAAATTGGATATTGGACAAGATTTGTCACGTAATGTAATTCATGGCCAACGTTCATATGGGGCTAATAATGGTTCTGGTAGTGTACCGATGTTAGGTAGTTATCAACCACAACATGTTAGGCAGGGTAACAATAGTAGCAGTAGCAATAACAAGCACGATTTATCAAAACCCGCCTCCGTCCATCTTCAACAACATAGTAAACAATCTTCAATTCCACCTGAGCCTACTTATAGTAGTGGGGTCCACGATTCACAACAAACTGCTACTCATCCGCAAACACATCCTGCTGCCAGTTATATGATGACTCGACCTTCAGAGACTTCACACAACGAAGATATAAATGCTTCCCAAATGTCGTCAGTACATCCAATCTTACAACAGTCATCAAGTGCTAACCAATCTAAAAATTCCATATTTAGTCCTGACTGGAATCAACAAAGTCAACAACATCAACAAATATCTTCAGCTACGTATGCCAATAATAATATTCCAGTTTCTAATGTGGGCGAAGCATTTAATTACAAGTTGTCATCCAACAAGGAGGGGGAGCAAGACAAAAATGATCGTGAACGTTTGGACGTTAATGCTACGGCAACTAAAAAGGAACGGAACCGAGTTGGCCATTCTGGCATGGATATGACCATGATGATTGGTGTGCGGCCCACTGCTCTTCCCCCGCAGTATCATCAACAATTACAACCGCAATCATCAAAAATAACCATGCCAAAGAAATCTGATTCTAGCGTCATTGGCGAATTTACCGGTATGATATTTCAATTTATATCTGTTCAATATTTATTACAAAGAAGTGTAAGATCACATTGTGTTATTGTGTTATGTTATGTTAGTAGGTATGCATGAACGATGGCTTTATAATGACTTTTACACAGTTTTAAGTATCCTCCGAACGTTCTGAGTTTTATCAAGAACTATTTATTTCATGTCGTAAATAAATTTTTATACTAGTCTAGACAGGATACAAACTTACAACCTTAAATATGGTTTTTGGTGAACAATTGACAGACACGTTAATATTATCCGTGGGTTTCAAGAATGCACTGATAGCTATCGAAATTTTAGCTTACAATAATTTTGATATAAAAAATTCAGTTGACCCAGTTATTTGGATAAGTGTATAAACACTGAATTGGTAAATTAATTTTTCACTCATGTTTAGGGAACAACTGAAATACTGAAAGTAGGCGATGGGATTAGTAAGTACGAAACTTTATCCCTTTGATTTCTTGGAACAAGATAAAATAGATTCATTGTCGGTAATATAGTCCATATTTGAGACCAAAGAAATATCTGCAAGGGTTCTTCAACTTAAATACCTATGTTAGTTCTATAATTATGTCATAATCATAACTATGTTATAAATAGAAATTGAACCCATAAATCCGTATTATTTGTTGGAAGATACCATTACACACTATATTTAGTATTCGCCACGGTATAAATGAATTTAATATTTTATGTAATGTGTATAAGAAATATATAAACTAATATTTTCGAAAAGAGGTATTAACATAATTTTAGAAAATAGTTTATTATGGGATTTTTTCCACAATCGTATGAAAGAGTGTCGATTTTTCTTACCAGTGATTCATGCTCGATTATCAATTTTAATGAATTAATATCTATTCAATGGCATTTAACCAACTTCCGATATAGTCTTCACATTGTTGTTATGCAACTGTTTCAAAGATTGTGTTTCCTCACAAAAAGCCGAGATAAGTTGAGCGACACTCCGCTTTTTGTTTAATCTATTGATATATATATTATTTATAACTTATTTGACTATGATAACCAGCAGTGAATCAGAATAACGAAGTGTTTTTACAGGTATAAACACTGGTATTAAACGTCCACACGAAGTTGGATATAAACAAGAGGTAGAGCAAAGCAAACTTCGGAAACTTGATACTCAAGCCACATTGTCTTCGTATAACGAAATAAAGTCTAACGATGGGAATAAACTTCAAGTAGTGAATGGAATAGAAACAAATCCTGATTTAGTAAGAAGTTTATTAAAGGAGAGCTTATGCACCTCAAATGCCCTCCTGAAAACCGAACAGTTGGGTGCGCCTAGCCTTCAACCACCAGCTGAACTTTTCGAGCCATCGGTGGCTGCAGCTCCGGCCACAGCTACCACTATTGCAGATGTATCTGCAAAAACTGCAAGTTTAAGTAGTGCAAATGAGCCATCATCAATGGAAATCACTGAGTCTGGAAGTAGTAAAGTGGAAAAGAAAAAGAAAAAAGACAAGCATAAACATAAAGAGAAGGACAAATCGAAGGACCGCGAAGAACGAAAGAAACATAAGAAGGATAAAGACAAACATAAAGAGCGTGATCGCAGTGAACTAGACAGCTCGGCCCATGTAAAGATTAAAATTACTAAAGATAAAATTGAAGGTGCTGGAGAGTGCTTAAAGATAAAAATTCCGAAAGAACGAATAATTAGTGATGTGAACAATAGTACTGGCAGCGCCAACAGTTCTGCAGATGGCAGTACCGCCATGCATCCGGCACCCGCGTTAAAAATCAAAATTAGCAAGGATAAATTAGAAAACTATGCAACAGACTCATCGACACATTCATCCTCACAACAAGCACAGGCGTTGGCGCAACTGCCAACGGGTTTTTATTCATCTTTTGTCACACCAAGCAACACATCGAATAACACGTCGCATAGCAGTAGTAGCGGTAGCACTAGTAGTGGAAAAAAGAAAGATCGTGACCGTGACAAGGATCGCGAGCGAGAGAAAGATAAGAAGCGTTTAAATAACGAAAGTCTCAAATCGAATGGCGGTGGGTCCTTTCATTCTACAATAACTTTACAAGGAGGAGCGGGTGGATCGTTGCTCTCACATCTACCACAAACAGCGGCACCGAAGAGTCAAAATCCTAACAAGGTAAGCACTTCTCGCTTTTCAATTTATCAAACCGGTGTTGATGGTTTTTATAGCACATCTCATTAAAAAGAACAACAGTCAAAGAATCCCTCAAGACATCTACAAAATTACAGATTGGTATAGTTCAAATTTTTTATAAGGAAATCCTAATTTGTACAAATATTAAACACCTTTAATTTATACAAATTTAAATTACGTTAAAATACTAAACAAAATTCAGCCCTATCTTAAATATGGCTAAACTAAAACTTTTCAATTGCAGTTTTTACATTCATTCGAATATTAACGGAACATAAGAATTAGAAAATAAAAATTTATTTAGTGATAATAAACATATCTCGGTAAGAGCAAAAATATTTTCCGTTGGAGATATCATATATTTATTTCCTGATACCTACAAAAATCCCTGTAGGCATTATAGTCATGATAAGGCTGAATATGTATTTTAAACTATGTTATAAAACACATAAAGACGGTGCGATGCATCAGGCATATATGCATAGAAAAGGAATATGGTTTAAAGGATCTCAATTAATTAACCTTATCTAAAAAGACACATATCAAAAGCAATAGGAAACTCAGAACTAACATACACCCGATGTCTTGAATTATAATTTTAATTTACGCTCTAATCCCATATTTACTAATTCAACCTTCCTCTAAATACAAGGTATACATTTGTATATAAATAATAATATTTTCAAAGATTACTTTACACATTAAGTTATAAAAAAATATTTATTGGTAATTTTAAATACACTCTAAACCGAACTAATCCGTGTGGTAATGGTGTGTAATAAGCCCTTTAGTGGCGTGATTTTCAAAAACTTTAAGGCATTAGCTTCAAACCATTTGAAAATGATTTTACAGATGCAACTGTTATCCAATAATATGAATCAACTCTTCGGAGAGTCGAATGATGATGATGACGACTATGATGATAATCAAAATGTAGATCACAAAAACTATAAGGATTATCATAAGAACAGAGTTCATAACACCGACTTCTTGACAACTACATCCATCAACTCGACGGTTTCTGCGCGTAAAAGCACTAATTACGGGCAAAAATATTCACAATCCCATCAGATGCAACGATGATGCATGTAATCATCATAAATTAATTGGTAATAACAAATTGAAATATAAATCAAAGCATTGGTTAGATAGGTAATCCTTTTCAACACATACAATGTCATAAATTAGGTTATTAGTAGCACATGTTTATTAAAAATGGGTAACAGAATACTGGAAAGATAAGAAAGATTCAAATCTTTTTCTGAAGTGTTTAAAAGCTTACGCCGAGCATGTCTTTTTACATACTCCTTATTAACATATTTCTACCATTTTTATATTCTATGTTCATCAAATGTCTAATTTTTCTTTAAAGAATATATATATATATATGAAAACTCCAGCTTACTTTTAGTCTGGTGGCTTTTTTATGTATAAAATTCGAAACAACTTTGGAAATATTCAAATGATTAAGACCCTGTATGAGTGCTAACTGCATTTCTTAATCACAAAATATTCGTTACTTATATATTTTATTTTAAAAAGTTGAAAGTTCTAATTTCATTTGAGTGTAAAATAATATAACATGTTCTTTAACCAATTACCGGATTTCGATGTCTTATAAATATTGTATTTCTTACAGTTTTAAAGGTGACGCTATTTTTGGCAGGACTGGCATACACGCTGTACATAAATTGACATATAAATATTTCACATATGTACATTAGCTGCTACATACGGATAACATAAAAATTCAAAATATCTACAAATGAAACTAATGTTTATTTATCGTAGAAAATAATACATTTTATGTTCGGCCTTGTAACAGGTAGGACGTAAAATAAAAGAATTAAAAAAAAAAAATATGTATAATTTTATTCCAACATTAAATATAATAAGTACCTTAAAGACACGTAACTTCACTTCATCGCTACTAATGCTAAAAATTGATAAAGTGAAGTTAAATATATTTTAGCCCAGCGATCCTCCTGTCCTTGTATTATAGCAAAATCGATTGAACACAAACACGTTCATATGAAACTGGTTATTCAAGACGTCAGTATCACAGGTGTAACCGTTTCTGTTTAAGATAATTGTCCGTTCTGGGTAACTACTTAAAAAAGTAAAATTTAACAATGTAAATTTATGTAAATAAAACGAATGAAGTATGTAGTAAGCTTGTAGCCAAGCTTACATATATTATAAGTGGAGCTATTAAAAAAAAATTAGTAAATCTGGTAAATATAGTGACGATTTGTTTATGTTGCTTTATTTTAGTTAAATGGTTTTAATTCCTTTCAATATTAATGACCAAAAAAACAAAGAATTTTTGAGTTAACAAAGTAATATTATGATCATGAATTTGGTTTATACTCTCAAATCAAAACAAAAAACAGTTTAATATAAAAAATTGAAATTAAAACTAATTGGACAGAGTAATTATTCAATAAATTATTCCTTTAATTTTATTTAAAAAAAAAATTGTATACAAAAAAAAACAAAAACAATGAATAAATAGGAGTGATGAAATACATTAAATCCAGGAGTTAAAAGTAATTAAATATTTTATTTCGCAAATATATTTGCATCTTAAATAAATATGCCAAATTTTCATGATAAACAATATATCATACATCTGAACGATATTGCAAATATTCAATCAAACTAGTTTCACAATGATTACAATACTATACTTTTAAAATGGCAATATATAAAATGTTATAGAAATTACCTATTAACAACATAGCATTTAACTACATTTAAGTTAGCCGTTAATTTAATTTGTAATTTTTTTATAGAACTTTTTGCTCTTGTTTTCTATTTGTTAATTGATGATCTAAATTTTAACAGTAATATTTCATTTGAAGCATATTTACATCAGCGCTGAAACAAACTTTGCCTTGGAATGCATGAGAAAGTTGAAATGACCAGTTCCAAAATAATCTTAATGTAAATTACAACACATTAACATACATTCGTCCACATAATACATACACTGATGCATTCACATTAGATATAGAATACGCGACAGCATGTACGCGCGAATCAATTCAAATTCAACGTAATATGAGGTCGTAAAGTTGGGTACATAATTAGAAAAAAAAAAAAAAAAAAAACTGAAACCATATTTGTAATATTTCTCCATTGATAGTACAATAAGCTCAAAGGGAGACAGTATATATCGATTTAGAAGCTTGAGAAATATAAGTGCATATTTGTAAACTGCACAGAGTGAAAAGCCAATCATTACAAAATGACTTGAAGCGTGTATTACCCTAATTCGTTGACGATATGTGTCTGAAAAATGAAATTTAATTGCATTACTGAAAAAATCTTATTTTAAAATTTAATTAATACTTATGTGCACTACTTGATATCAAACACATACATCCGTGTATATAAATCTGGTTTCCGAAGTAAAGTGAAAGTTTATACTAAAACAACATATGGGCACATGAATAAGTTTTTTTTTATCAATTCTTTTAGTTATGAAATTTGTGTCAAGCAATTTAGAATTATAACTTGTATTCTAAAAAAAATATATGTACACAGCAAATTGCAAGAAACAAATAACCGGAACAACACTTAACGTAATTTATGATAATATATAATTAATTAATCTTGCAACAAAAATGATAATGTCGTTATGGCTTTATTTGCAGTTACAAAACCTAAGAGATCGATTATTGAAATATTTTCCAAGCCGTTGAAAGTTTGTATGTGACTACAAGTTTTATGACGCAAACAATATTATTGTATATACTTGCATTACAAATAAGAAATACAGAATTACATATTAAAATATTGCAATCGGAGTCAAGAATAGAACAAATTCATGCATTATAATTCATACAAATATTAATATATAGTATTAAAATATAGCACTATTATAGCAAACATAGGTTCAACTAAAATGAGCGAGTAAAGGGTAAATGAAAGATAATACAACATATGAACATATGAAAAAGCAAAGATTAGACGAGGTGTCTTAAGCTTATCGCCGCCGTATGTGTGTATAAATATAGTTAAGTCTTATCATTAGTTATTGTTATAATAATTATCGTCCACAAATGTATAATATACGTATTAATTTTTTTTTCCAATTGTCTTTATTTCTGACATTTAGCAATAACCAAATTTCTTTGGCCTCTTATTAAATCAAATTAAAATGGAATGAAGATTCTCAATAAATTTTTTAATACAAAAACTCTAAAAATAAAAAATAAATGATCGCTACGTTATATTTAAACAAAATAATCAAATTAGTAGTTTTAATTTATGAAAATTTTATGTAAATTGAAAACAATTAACAGGTAAGTTTGGTTTACTGCATATAGTGATAAAGAAAGTCAGTATTTCTGAAAGCGAACACTAAGGTTGATTTATTTTATGCCAACTTATAAAATTTCAGAATTTTGTCTTTGTTTTCAGTGAAACAATTGTCAAAATCATGTCAAATTCAGAAAATCGGAAAGGAAGGAAAACAATTATTTAATAATCATAGTTTGCTGATTTAAATGATGACGACAGTAAGATGGTTTTCTTTTATGGGGTGTTTAAGGCGTTTTGAAGAATATACATGTAACATATTTCGGATGGGAATTTTTTAAGCAATAGGTATAGCGGACACATTCCTTACCGTATTTTAAGCTTTAGTGAAAGTTAAATTTTATTTAATTGGTTATAATTATTATTTATTCAAAGTTATTATGTTATTATTAAAAGATTATATTATGTTTAACCATAGCACACTTAGTACCAAGGAAGATGTAGATTCTTCGTCTGGTGGAGCTTGGAAAAATTATCGAACTGCCCGTTCTATATATTTTTACATAAAGCACAACGGAAAAACATACGTCCCCGATTAAGGAGTCATACCCATTTTTACAGACGGTCCAAAGCTCAAAGAAAATCGCGCTCTCAATAAATAAAAGCATGATATTACCAGGACATTGCAGCGTCCTCCAAGAACAACTCTTTACAAACATGGAAACCGCAGAGTGGCTGCTCAAATCTACGGTACATACATATGTGTAGGAGTCTACTTTAACATTTGTAACTTGCTATATTCAACTTTTCTATGTCTAGAAGTTCACGAAAGTGAGGAAGGTTTTTGACTGCCATGCACCTGGGAGTGGCCAGAAACGATTATTTTACATATGGTTCAAGCCGCTCACGACTTCCGGTCTTAGACCACGTATCCTCGGGGTAGTCAACAAACATGGGGCTGGAGGCGAGCTAATATTTTAAGGATTACCGATTTTAGGCCACGCACATAGAATATCCGGTCTCTTAATTGGTAAGTCGCCGCTGCCCAGCCGGTTGACGTCCTCATAAACTAAAAGCAGACACCACCGCCGTCCAAGAAATGCAATGCACGAGACAAGAAAACAAACACGTGGAGTAAGCCTTCTTAACATCGCATATCCCTGGATAGACGAAATTATTTAAAACCTCGAAAGGATGACAGTCAACAATGACTTGAGAGCCGAGTCGGGAATGCCATAACTGTTCGTTTGATGGCAGGAGATATTTCGTCTAGCCCTCATTCACCACCAAACACATTCGCTTTGCTTCTTTATCAAGTCTGGAGGAAGCAGAACTCATGGCGCGGTCGTTGAGACCAATAACGTCAATATCATCGGCGTACGCCAGCATCTGTAAACTCTTATAGAAGACTGCCCCTTCACTACACTTCACTTCAACTCTGCAGCTCGTATTATTTTCTCCAGAAATAAGTTTAAAACGTCACGATAATTTGTCGCTTTGTCTGAAACCTCGTTTGGTATCGAATGGCTCGGAGAGATCCTTCCCGATACAGATGGAGCTTTAAGTGCTGCTTAAGGTCAGTTTAAACAGCCGTATAAGTTTTGCGAGGATACCGAATTCAGATATAGCGGTGTAGAGTAGCACACTGATATGGTCCAATCAGTTTGTTTACGGTGGGTTTCAGTCTTTCGCAAAATGTGTTTGAATAGACCTTATATGCGATGAAACTGTGATATTGACATAGTTAAGCGAATGAGAAGACAGCGGATACGTTGTCAATCATTTGATGTAGAACCCGCTGGTGGAAGCAGAGAAAGAGGAAGACCTCCACTCCTTTGGGAAGGCCAAGTAGAGAAGGAACTGGCTGTACTTGGTGTTCCCAACTGTTGCCAGACAGCGAAAAGAAGAGAGAAATGGGGCGTTAATATTGATTCGGCTATAATCGCATAAGCAGTGCCAACGCGATTCAAGAAGAAGAAGAATTTTTAACTTCAAATATTTTCATTTTCAGAAACAATTTTCATTTTCAAACAAACAAGAAGTGTTAAATAAATTTTATTAAAAATATAATATTTATAAATTTGTATATGTATATATCTAAATCGTGCGCAATAATATGTATAGAGTGATATGATTGCTTAAAAAAAAGTAATTGTCTGAGAAATCCAAAAATACAATCAATACACTTAAGTCCTGAATATAACATCATTCAAATGGCCGCGACGATTTTTTTTTGCAGAAACGAATTCGATGTTCCCAATTTTTTGCGCACTTTCTACTAAATCAAGTCGTATGTCATGAATAGCACGTTCAATATTGACTTTTAAAGCTTGGAGAAAGCCTGGTTTATGCCTTCAAATAACCACGTAAGAAGTAGCCTAATGGTATTAAAACAACTTTTGGGGTCCATTTAATGCCACAATTTCTATAAATAATCGAATCTCCAAACATTTCTGGCAATCCTGCAGCTTTTGGACGTGCTGTGCGACACGTGGATCCAGATGTTGTTAAGATCTACTTCTTCCATTTGTGACCATACAAATTTGGTTATCATCAATCTATACCTCTCCATTGAAAGTAACGGTGCTAACAGCTTCATTGCGTGAGAAGTACAGACCGAAAATTCCACCAGACCAAATTGTCAATTTAGATGAATGAAATGGTTGTTCACGAATCGACAGTTTTGTTTATTTACAGCACCACTCAGGCGAAAGTGATTTTCATCAGAGATTATTTTCTTAATTAAATCGTTATCTTTTTCAAGTTTTTGTTGTTGTTGTGTGGTTTGTAAACGTTGTTCTTGCGTTTATATTGCAATGATGATATTGTAAATATTAGTTGTGTTCGTTGAAAAATGTCAGTAAAAACAAGCTAGTAACGAAATTGAGAGAGTAAGAGAGTAAGATGTCTTACCCTCTCAAAGAGAGAAATTTACTGAGTTTTCAACGCACAGGATTCAGTAAAAATTAGTAAGCAAGTTGTACAACAGCTGTTTTTTGTCGGTTACATTTGAATCCGTTCATTTGTATAGTTTATTTTTTCGGTTCTTTTGAATTTTAATTAATTTGCCATATATATTTTTTTTAAATTTATGAGTTGTATTCAAAATTTATTGTATTTCAGAAATTATAAAATTCTACATGCTTTATACCCAGCCAAAAATAAAGATACCAATATGAATGTCCTCTAAAAGAACGAATATTTATGTAAAAATTAGTTTGCAACAATTTGGCGCTTAATTTTCAGTAAGGAGGACTGAAATATGAATATAAGTTTGAAGTTCTTTTTCTTGTAAGCCGGTCATATTATCTTAACATTATTATAGAGTTTATTCGATTCTCTTTAAATAAAAACCAAGCAAGAGCTTTATTTTTCCATCTAATTGCAACCGCGGCCGCGGTAGCCGAGTGGTTAGCATTGCGTACAGCCATTCGGAAGGCTCGGGTTAAGTCCCTGTGCGACCAACGTCCAAATGTTATAGAAAATTAATTTAAATAAAATATTAAGCTAAATTTTCTAATTGCGGTCGCCCGTTCGGAGGCGACTTAGTATAAACTGTGGGCCCCTCCGTTTGTTGGAAAAAACATCAAGACGCAGCGGTTCCAAAGCCCCAATTATATATATACATATATAAATGCAACAATATTTCATTTTGTGCATCGTCGTTGTCGATTTTGTCCGCCCTCACGGGGGTATTCGCTTAATCTAGGAAAGATTTCATAGGCAAACTTACCAGAGAACGAAGGCACTCCCATTGCATGATTGTGACAAATTCAAGTAAAACAACAACAATTAGATGGCACAGGTTGCGTTTGAAGCAGCAAACAGACTTAAATGAAGGTCAGTATTAGTTTGTATTAGGACAATTTGATATAGTCTTCCGATTTCGTTAATTTTCGGTAGCAATGTTAATCTCGAATCTAAAAAAATGGTCGTATTTATATCGATTCTTAGAAATGATTGTTTAAATATGACACTGCATCTGTGTGTGGTTGTAATATTTCATCTTTGTTTGTTTGACTATGTGCGTGCAAACAGCCGGACAGACGGGCATGACTAAATCAACTCAACTCGTCATTCTGATCATATTAGCATAAATAAGAAACTTCTCATTCTTGTCTTGAAAATTTTTAATTTTTTATTTCTTTCTGCTTCTCTGATTATGCTCAGATGGTTCCAGCTGCTTCTTCGTAAGAAACCTTTTCTCCGTAAATTGTTGTTAGAGCTTCACTTCTTTTTCAAAAGATGAGCCGCCAGCAGCTTGATCCTTGGCTATTTTTCCGAGAATGTACCGGCTCTTTCTTTCCCACCTGATTAGGAGATTTTCTATATTTTTTCTTGTGTTTTGCACTCGAGTCTGCCAGGGCACTTTGATGCTTTGGTACTCATGACAGCTTTCGACGTTGACGGTTCCATATTAAATAATTGGGTATTTTGTATGGTCTTCACTGCTGTATTTTTAATCGATCCCATGAGGAAGATTTCTTGAAAATATCAGACTTCACTTTTTATATCCAATTAAAGCCGAGCGGAAAAAAAAACGACAGGTGAGCCATTGTCGACCCACCTACAATCGAGTAAGCGGCTTCTATTCCAATAATGAAGAAGAATACGTGTATGTATACAATACAAATGTATGTATTTTAAATGCAGCCTAGGAATACAATATTAAAGTTCACCATAAGCTTGCATCTAATTACACCTGCCTGTATTCATAGGTACGTACGTTGTATAAAAATATTTGTTGCTGCATTGCATTGTAGTGGTTGCCGTTCCAAGTTTAATTTCATCCAATCTGAAAAAACTGAATATACTATGTAGGTATGTATATATTTAATTATGTATATGTATGTGTAATTTTTTAGGGGGAGTTTGCATTTCATGCTGGAAATACAATTGTGTGCTTGAAATTTCATACCGAGGGGCGACCGTAATTAGAAAAATTAATTTTCTATAATTTGGGATGTTGGTCGAACCAAAAAGAATTAAATTCTGACTTTCAGAATGTCAGTATGCAATACTAACCACTCGGCTACTGCGGGCACCAATTTAATTAGTAAACTTAATTATTGTTGAAATAAATGATGTTTTTAACAGTGCTAATCAAGTGATTTAATTATAATTAGCACTCAAACGTTAGTATTGTTGCACATAATATTCGTATATGTATGTATTGTTTTATCGCACAGAAACAAGTTTAATCATATAAAAAACATACATACATATGTTATTGGAAAAAAATTAAATTTGCATCGTAGCGATAATATAATAAATTTTCGGCATGACATCAATATTTTGCAAAATATTATGTTGCCATATTGTACCGTGGATATACCGTTAATTCGATAAAAAGGTATTCATGTGCTGAGAAGATTTTTGCAGAGCCCCAATCTCAACCGTATTTAGAATGTGTGAGGAATTATGAAGTAGCCCAAGTAGCCAAGCGGTTAAAAAAATCAAATTAGCAGGGAATGTCTACTCCTCATGGAAATCCCTCAGCCATTCGGATGCGATATAGATTAACGGATAAGAATTAACTGATGATGAACTAAGCTGTAGATCTCTCCGTCCAAGCAAATTAATTGTATTTATCATAGCATCTTTTAAGTTAGATTTAATCTTTTTTGTAAAGCATAAATTAAATGAAAAGAGGCTAAATACAAACTGCTTTCGAAACTGTTAATTTACCGACCGCTTTTCTAAATTTTTTGTTGTAAAGCTAAAAATCGCATTAATCCAGTAAAGTACCTTCGACGCACATCGATGCTTACCTCCAATAACATATAAATACGAGGTGTGTTCAAAAAATATAGCGAATTTTGTGTTTTTTCAAAAATTATTTATTTGTTCTTGAATATCTATTTTGTCCCCTTCAAAGTAATCCCCATGAGATATTATACACTTGTGCCAACGGTATTTCCAATATTCGAAGCACTTCAAAAAATCATTATTTTTTTATCTTGTTCAGCTCCTTCTTCTATGCCGTCTTTATTTCGTCAATCGTAGCGTAACGTCGTCCTTTCATGGGCCTCTTCAGCTTAGGGAACAAGAAAAACTCACAGGGGGCCAGATATGGGGAATACGGTGGTTGCGGCATCATAAGTGTGTTGTTTTTGGCCAAAAGGTCGCACACAAGCAACGATGTGTGAGCAGGCGCGTTATCATGGTGCAAAAGCCAATTTTTGTTCTTCCCCAAATCCGGGCGTTTCTGGCGGATTGTTTCGCGCGAATTGCGCATAACTTGCAGGTAATATTTCTTATTGACCGTTCTACCTGTGGTAAGAACTCATGATGCACCACGCCCCTGCAATTAATTTTTTCGTCTGCTGTTGAAGAGCTCGGGCATCCGGCACGCTCTTCGTCGTTCACATCTTCTCGGCCTTCTGAGAACATTTGTACCACCAATAAACGTTGCTTCTGTCCAAGGTAGCTTCTCCGTATGCCACAGTCAACATTCGGAATGCATCCGGCCACCTAGTTTCGTTTTTCACACAAAATTTGATACAGGTCCTTTGATCAATTTTTTTGAATAGGTAAAAATGGAAGACTATCCAAAACACGTGCAAGCAAAGCAGCTGTCAAAATGACCGAGCTTGTCGGCATAAGTGACAGACATAAGTACCAACATAACGCCACAAAAAAATCGAAAATCGATTATACGTAACTCGCGAAAATTCAATACTTTTTGAACACACCTCGTATACAATGTATTAACAGACTTCGTTAATAGATGCATTAGATGTATGATCAGTACTGGTAAACAATGTTTTTGACACAGGAACGCTTTAATGATTCCATTAGGTTAGGCAAGTCCCAGATTCACATCCCACACAATGCCGACCTACCTGATGATAAAAAGGCCATATTTTTTTTGGTAAGGAATTCGTCTGAAGCCAACATCATTCGGAATTTCAGCAAATATGCAAATAGATTATTGTTGGAGATTTAGAAGGTACCTAGTAAAGCCAAAAATTCATGAAACTCCTAAGTCTGTACTGCAAGTTAAACAATGAAGTTTTCATAAATATTGTTGCGAAAATGCGAGGCGAATGTCAGATGAAAGAGAGAAGCCGATAACACAAGAACCTTCCATAGCGAACAATTCGATGCTTCTACGCTTTCGTCTGCGAGCAGCCGACTGCTATATAAAGGCGACACTCAGCTGCAAGTCAAGCAGTGACAAAGCAAATTGGTTGGCGTTAACATCAGTGAAGACGTAAAGTGAACGCGTTGGGAATTACATTTAAGTAGAGTAAATTGTGAAAGTTGATGTTAGTGATTATAAATAGTAAAGTGCAGTATAATTGAATTGTGAATTACTGAGAAAATAAAGGACATTAGATAGAATCTTTATAACGAAAGAAACTGCAAATTAAGTTGGCGAGTTTTTTATTTAACAATCCAGAGATCGTACCCGAAGGATCTAGAAAATAATCGAGGTTGATTTAGTAAAATCGTAACAATATGTTTATTTTTTCTGAAAACAGATGTTTTGATGTTTGAAATGTAAATGTAAATTGATATATTATTGTTTGGTGGCCTTAATACCTTCAAAATTTGGTAAGTGAATCCGAGTGAAAAAAAAATGTTTCAGTTTTGTTGACTGCTCTTATTGGGATTAAAAATAGTTCTGCAATTTGTGTTATATAATATTTCACAATTTTTAGATTAAGAGACACATAATGGAATGAATAATTTTTGTATTAACCAAATACATCTTATGCAGTGGGTTACAAGTACAAATCTCCAATATACGTGTATGTATTGAAAATGTGTGAATAAATATATTTACAGTGGCTCAATAAAGAACTCGTACATACATGCAACTTCAAGCTAGATATTTTTTTAACCAATTGATATTGAGCATTTTTGTTTTTTATCGTTTTTATGAGTATCCAATTAGGATTAAAAAAATAGGAATAATAAACTAATTAAATAGTTTATAGGTCTCTATACCCTTACTTCAAAAAATCAACATGCGACATGCTAGAAATATCCCACATCTGGTAATAATACAGTTGCTTGGCATTTTAAAAATGGGAATCCCACAAATAGTTTGTTTTCGTTTAAAAATACATAAGATATAACCAAACGTAATAGGTTAAAATAAAATTTCAGTAGTTTCTTTGGAAAGGGAGAAAGTACAAACATGGGTAGACACTTCGTGGACAAAGCTCAATTGAAGTAACGAA